TGCTGGGCCCTAGGCTCCCTGACTGCCGAGCCCAGTGGGGAAGGAGGCCCTTTGCCAGACGGGACAGGCCCCTGTTTCGTAGACTGACCCGTGGACCTCGATGCATACTGCCTGCTTCTGAATCTCACAAAACCCCTAATGTCAGTGTCCCTTCAGTTTCCATCTGTTTAGCCTTTTTGTTCTTGTTACAGGTGTCAGAACAGTCCCCTGGGTGGAGCTGTGAAGTGGCCTCTTCTGCCCCAGAAACCTGTACACATCATTTAATCCTCAAATGTGTTAGATTTAATCCCGCACATTGTATGAGATGCTATCATATCAAGACTTAGACTGTATCAAGCTCCATAAATGGATCCCCCAGGCCTCTGTTGCAGCCCCTGGTCATCACACACGGCCAGATGCTGAATCTATCTTGGTGCAGCTGAGACTGGCAGTCACACGTGTGCAAGCGCCCAAGGGTAGAGCTGGGGCTGGGACCAGCCCTCTGTCATCCCACGGTGCTCTCTTCCTAAGCCAGGCCTCTAACGAGCTCCCGCTGCTCACGTGTTCACAAGCTTGAGCTGCTCTGGTAAGGGGCATTCCGGCCTGTTGAAATGAGTTTGCGTTTCTTTGTACAACACAAAGCTTCGAAATGAATGACGGCCCTGGAAAGTTCTCAGGAGAATTTGCAAGGCTTGCTGATACGCAGGGACATCTGGTGTTTAGGATGAAAACATTTTCCTCTTTAGAATTCTGTAGACTCAGGAGCTCCCCTGGCAACTCTGCATGCCGCACGTCTTTGGGAAATAGCTTGTGAAAAGAGTGGGAGACTTTGTTTCCAGCAGCACATGTTATAGGACGAGAAAGGCTACGGCTCCGGCATGAGGAGATTGCGCTCACCAAAGTGTGTGGGTAGTGAGACAACAAGTAAAGAAGCCGCCTCTGCCCTGCGGCCCCTGCACAGAATAGAAATGATGCAGGTGTGGTTTATGACTTGGGTCCTGGTCGCCTTCTTTCTTGGGTCCACTTGGATGGCCACCGTGGCGGGGCGCCCGCCTCAGGGCACCCGTCACCGCCTTAGAGGTCTGCATCCGTCATGTTGCTGGTTATACTTGGGCAGGAGGCCTGAGGCTTTGCTGAGGTGGACCCTCGTCTTGCTGCCTCACTGAAGGGTGCTGAAGGAAGCACTGGAGCTTTCTCCTCACCTTCTGTGCCCCGAGCGTGGGCGGGCGGTCGTGAAGCTGACGTCATGGATTTGATGTTCCACGTGGGGCTGTGACGCAGACTGGACCCTGGGGGTGGACACTCAGGCTCTCAGTGGACACCATTCATGGTTGGGAGACAGAGGAGTGTGGGTGCATCAGGGCAAACACACCAGGGGCTGAAAGCACCTGCTTCACCCTGGAGAAGCCATATTGGCTCCACTGGGCATTTTAAAAGGGAGTCCGTTGTGTACCTGGTGCTTAATAAGTGTGTTGTTTACTTTGCATTTCTTTGATCACTAGAAGTTGGAATTTGGTTGCTGCCATTCTCATTCCATCATCCATGGGGCCCTTTTTGAGGCCAACCTTGCTGTTCAGCAGTAGCTCTGATTCTGTCGTTGATTTTCTCTGCACTTTCACCTCTCCCCGTTTTTTGATGTCATCAGCCTGTCCCATTTGATTCATCTTGGAATTGACGTCTGGAGTGATGTCGGCGGCCATAACAGAGTGCTCTCTCTGGCTCGCGAATCGTGCTTGGTTTGTGCCATTCAGCCTAGGTCTCTGGGGTTGTACGCCGTAAAGCAGAAAGGCTCTTTAGATTTTCATTTCTCCCACACGCAGGGCTCCTTGCCAGCACCTCTGAATCCCCAGCAGCTCTTCGTCTGAACGAAACTCTGTCCGGTGCTAAATATAGCTTTATCTCACACGATTTGTAGAAGGTGCCTTCTACTTTTAAATCCAGACTGAGCAGGGAACAGGACATTTACATAAGAAGTCGGTGCTAGCCTGGTAACAAATCTTCTAATCTCTTTATTGGGCTAGTGAGTAAACTCAGGATCAAGGAGGTTAAGTGCCCTGCCCCGGGCCAGGAGCTAATTAAATCCCAGTTATCTCACTTCCAGTAGGTTCCCTGTCCACTCCCACGCTCGCATCCAAGCAGGCAAGAAACACGCCTGTGCAACAGGCAAGACACACTTGATCCCCTAGAGGTGGGATTCGCTCCCTGCAAGTGCTTGTGGATTCCAGTTCGTGTTTCCCAGTGGAGGGCCAAACTGGGGCACCAACCAACCAGAGATCATTATGTTTCAGTCACTTCCCCAGCTGGAGGCTGGTTCCCTTGTGAAGTGGCCCAGGTCTGTACCCAGACCACAGACCTGGCAGGTGATGCTGAGGTACTCCCCACAGACCAGCGGCCGGGACTCCTCACTCTCACTTAATGACAAATGCAGATACCTTCGGGGGCCACTGTGTCAAGTGGCCGAGCTCAGGGCACACCATGGGGATAGGGGCCTCATCCATCGTTCAGTGCTTCATCCCAGCACCTGCGGCAGAGCCTGCACACCACAGGCCCCCAATAAAATAGGTGGAATCAGTGGTGGGGGCTGCAGAGAACTGGGAAGTGCTTATCTTGCAGAAGGCCTTCTTGTCAAAAAAGCATGCCTCTAGGCAATGTTTGGCTTCCAGCTTGCAGCTCCTATGATTGAATAAACAAGGCTATTTATGGATGGAAGGGAACAATGACTGCCAAGCAACTCGGATGTCCAACTTACGGCTTTGGTATGTTCAGTTGGGGTCAAGAGGCAGATCTCTTTCTGTTTAAGCACTTCTTGAGTCCTTCCCATTCATAACCTTTGCCCTTCTAACGACCCTGGGCTAACTGCAGACGTGTGTGACTTCCCACTTGCCCTTCCATCATGCTGTGGTCTAACCTTGATTTTCTGAATCCCTTGGTCATGTGTATTTCTTTTCGAGATGGGCAAACGCACCTCCTTCTACCAACTAAGGGGCAAACTTTTAAATACAAGCTGTATTTACTAAGAGAAGGGTACCAAATTTGCTTTCAGACATACAATGTTGCCTTTTTAAAAATGGACTTAAGCAACAGTGGCAACTGTTTCATGCCAAAAAAAAATTTTGAGCCCACTTCATCTCCAAAACTTGCCACGTCGTTACAAGGTTCTGGATAATGGGAGACAACCTCTTCGAGTTTTTCCTAAGGTGAAGAGTCGGCCTGGCTCTCCCTCGGACACTTCCCTTATTCTGGTGGGTCTGTGTCACTTCCCGTCCGTCCCATTTTCCTGCTAACCCAGACCCTCCCCCCCTTTTTTGGTATGTAGCAGTCTCTTGTACCAGAAGGAGCATGACTCTTGGGTCAGTCAAGCAGCTGCCGTGGGACAGACAGGCTGGAGAGGAGTGCTCTGCACACGGGCCCTAAACCTAGGATGTATGGACAAGTGTGAGCCCACGTGCCAGAGCCCAGAGCCCAAAGCCAGCTTCTAGACTGCGGCCTCAGCCGCTAACTTGTCACTTAGACACTTTGATTCCCTGCTGAAGTTGGAGGGCTACTGAAAACTTCCTCTGGTGAGAGAAAACCTGCAGTAGAATTTGCTTGAAGGAACCAACTTTGCAGAAGTCAAACCAGAGCTATCATTAAAATTTTAGCCAGAATATATCAATCAGATAGGTACCTTGGAAGGTACCCAAAAGCATTAAAATTCCAAGTTTTCTTGAAACATTTTACTAGTTTTTTAAAAAAAAGATCACGGGCATTTGACGTCCAACTTACAAACCCTGTGACGGGATCAGTAAAGTCAATTACAGACGGACACCATTCCTGCCGAGCAACATTGACCTCCTGCTTATTCCTCGATGCTGTGTGTTCAGATGAACTCAAAGATGCAGATGGTTCTTTGTGGCCGAAGTCCCCTCTGCTCCGTTAATGACCTTGGCTCTGATCTAAACTAACTGTAATTTTGAGGCATGAATATAAAAGCAAGAAGTGACTTGTGTCCATCAGGACTATGTTCAGCCACAAATAACAGAAAACCCAGCCAACAGGAGCTCCGACAGGTAGGAATGACTTTCTTCATGTATCAAGGTTGAGTTCAGAGCAGGTGGTGCCTCACAGCGGTTCAGCTGATCGAGTGCTTTGAGGGTCCAGGCTCTTTCAGTCTTTCTGATCCATCCGACTCAGCCTTTTGGTACTACCCTTACGCTTGGGGGCTTCCTAACTGCACACCTGTGTCAAGGCAGGAAGAAGCAGGGGCAGGAGAGCATCACTGCGTCTGTTCACCTAACTAGGAGAGCAAAAGCCCCGCTAGAAACCCCAAGCAGACTTTCCCTTCGGGCTCACTGGTCGAACGATGTCATGTGACTGACCCGAGCTGCAGGGGAGGCTGGGGAATGGAGTATTGTTTCTGTTCAGCCTCAGCGGCAGAGGAAGACAAGGGAGAATGGGCTTGAGAATGGGTGTGTGTGAGGTAACACACAGTAGCCACCAAGAGACTGCAGAGAAACTCTTTCCAGCCATTTCATTGTACAGATGACAAAACTGAGTTCCAGAAACGGGAAGGCGCTTGGCCAAAGTCCCACAGCTAGATGAAGCTGGAGGCAGATCTAGAGCCCAGGCCTCCTAACTCCCAGCCCACAGCACTACCCGCTGGGCCACAGCATGAGTGTAGTCGGACAGAGTCTGTGACTGAAGCTCTGAAGGACAGTATCATCCAGAAAACGATACGATGACCATGAAACCACCGGCAGCGGGCAGAGGACCTAGGAGCTCCACGTGAGCTCTCCTCCCTCCCTAAGAACCTGAAATAATTTAGTGAGTCACAGAAGCTAAGCCGAGCCACACCGGGCCTCCTCTAAGCTCACTGAGACCGCATAGATCTTTTCAGTGCCTCACTCCGTCAGCACATCGACGTCTGTGTGTGTTACAACAGGATCGATCTCACGGTGAGCACCGTGATGACGTAGCATTTCCGTGTCACTGTTAATGTGCTGTTCTTGTCTTCTGTTCCCCTCTGTTATTGGACCAAACAGAAGTATTCTGCTGTTTCTCTCTGCAACATCTCCACAGAAGTCCTGAAGGTCATCAACGCCACGGAGGAGCTGATAGCGGAGTCTGCAGAGCCCTGGGAGTGCCCGCCTGTCCCTCCCAACAGAGAGAAGGGGGCGTTTCCTCTTGGGACAGACCAAGCGAGACTGGATGCGCAGCTGACTTCCCTGGAAGAAAACGTAAGACAGTGGGGATGTGCCGGGTCTAGGGAAGCACACATGTGAAGCAGCTGACGACGCTGTAACTCGTCACAGAGAGGGTGAGGACACACACTACAGCACGGCACACATGCTCTCAGGGGCCTTAGGCTGGCTTCCCCAGAAGCAGACCCTGAGACGAGGGTTTGCGTGCAGGTGATTTATTAGGGAAGTGCTCCCACGGGGAGGCTGATAAGGGAGTGGGGAGAGGGAAGAGGCCAAGCAAAGTTACGGTCTCAGAGCAGCTTCAGCCCAGTCCAGCAGGCAGCTCTGGGGTGCACACTGCATCTCACAGCTGCCGTGACCTGAGGCAAAGGAACTGGCCTTTCCTACAGCCAGCAGGCCGCTCAGTCTCTGCATGCGGGCAGTGTCTACGGTAGCCCAGAGGCAGCTTCGGCATAGATCTGAGCTGCTGGAAACGAAAGCGCACTGCAGCCTGGGAGCAGGGAGGGAGGCGTGCAGAGATCATGTAAGGGACCCATGGGGATCGAGGTAGGTCGCGGCCAGTAATGCTACAGACAATAAGAGTGGTTGCCAACAGAACTGAGGTCACTACAGCGGGTCTGGTCTGCCCTGATGCACAGACAGGTCTGCTCCTAATGGATTTTTCTACCCTTCCAACTGGTGAGAAAAAGAATGTAACAGATTCTTACACATAAATATCTACAGTTATTGTTGAGACCTCAGGAACGGTCCAATGAGAATTTTCCAACACTGGGAACCAGGGGTGGCACGGAGAAGTGTGGACGTCACCACCCGGGCCGTAGCCACCTTCTCCAGTTGGCCTAGTCCTGGTACCAGACCCGGTCAGTTGATTCCATCTTTCCAGACCCAGCAGAAGCAACCGTGATTTGGAGATGCTCTTAATAATGGTGTTCTCAAAAATCAGGAAATGTTATCAGAGAGATTTTTTTTTCCCCAGAATTTGAAACAACAAATCAAAATGAGTCAAGGCTGAAAAAAAAACCATTACTTTCCCTTTGAAGGTTGCAGACTCTCTTAAGCATATGTCTACCTGACCTCTCACCTCACTTTGTTGCCCTTCTGTGCACGCATCTCCCATTAGATCAGCACCCTTGACATTCTGGGTTAGACAGTTCTTTGTGGCAGCGACTGTCCTGTACACTGTAGGATGTTAGTGGCATCCCTGGATTCTACCCCCAGCTGCAGCATCCTCCTACTGTGACGATCAAAAATGTCTCCAGACATTGTCAGATGTTAGAGGGTAGAGGAGGGGAGACGGGCACAGTCATGCCCAGACCAGGAACCACATATATAAATCCCTACAGACTGGGACCTGCCGCCTGTCCTGTCTACGGCCCTAGCCCTCGGCCCAGAGCCTGACACAGAGGTGCCCAAGGAACAGTTAGCTGATGTGTGATTACATCAGATGAGTCAAGTCTTTAAATAACACAGTTCTTTCGGGTGCTGATAGTCCTAAAATGGCCCTAATCCTGCACACACAGAATCAAAAAGATTAAAATAAAGAAAGGTAAGGTTCACCAGGAAAAAAACGCATTTTTTTTTACAAAGTATGGTATCAAAAAAACTTACAATGGATGAAAGAATCCAGATTTAAATAACAACAGTCAGTCCCCATGACACATTTAAAGCAAAGACAGCATGCATTTTTTTTTCCCTCTAAGGAATATGTTGAAAAATACAATGGCCTTCTTGGAGTTTTTATTTTGTAAGATCTTTCTGTGGTACATCATGTTCCTTTTGGGAGTTCATTAACGCTTTGAGTTCAAAACACATCCACTTCGCCACTGATTCAGGATGTCAGAAACCCCAGCAGGGATGTGTGCTGGAGGGCTGGGGAGTGCAACTTATTGCTCCCTGTCCAGCTCCTCTATCAAGATGCCTCTCCTGTTCCCAAAGAGTTAACTGCCTACTTCCACCTCCTTCCCTGCCCCCAGCCAGCTTTTCAAATTTTCCCTCAGAAGAGACTCCATCTATGCTCCTTTGAATTCTGTGGGTCTCTGAGTCACAGAAGGAGTGACTCTTTTCTTTATCCCTCCAGCTCACCAGATCACAGAACCATGGGCAGGTTGGAATTCAGTTGAGGGGCAGAAGGGCAGGGCTGAATCTTAAACTGGCCTCTGGGTGCAGCTGATTTAATTAAACCGTGGCTTTTGTCTGTGTGCTAAAGAGCGCTCCTCTGTGCTCCGCTGCCTCTCCTTTGTGCTGAGGAGCCCGGGCGCTGGCAGAAATGGATGCAGCAACGCTTAGTCTCCCCTTCTGAACGCTGGCTTCCTTTCGCAGACCAGGCGTCTGAGATAAGAGAACATTTGCAAGACAATGTTCACCTTTAAGAAGGCTTCCGAGCTACGTAAGATAAAACAAAAAAATGTGACATTCGTGTGTCTCTGGTTTTCATAAACTGCCTTGTTAATCCTCTTAGTTAGAGTAGGACATGAGGATTTTAGAATTTTCTTAGTCTCTTAGCTTTGACACTGTCACCAGCTGCCTGGCAGTGACATCAGCCCTGTCTCCCCTACAGGCTGGAGGAAGCCCGGACCAACAGTCCCAGCCTCCCCCGCACAAGCAGTGGGGGCTCAGTCCCCACGACTGTATGTCGGGTCTCTTGTATTTGAAGCTCTTGCTGAGAGCTGTGAAGCACAGGGTTCTTCTCCACCTGTAGGGGTCTGGCTGGAAGAGGATTTCAGGGAGTGTTAACTGAGGTGTGGGCCAGGTTAAGGGACGCTGTAGTCCCAAGAGTAGCAGTAGGAGGAAGGGGTCACCACCCCCAGGCAGTGCAGCTCAGGGAGAACCAGGGCAAGGAAGAGCGCCCCCTAGTGGGAGCTGCCACCATGGCGCCCAGGAAGGGGAGAGTAGAGGAAGAAAGGCTCTAACTTCTCTCTCCTGCTACCTTGGATCTCCTGCTGGTGCTTCCCACTACTGGCCAAACCCATCCTGGCCAGCAAGGGAGCCTTAGATCCGTGTTCTGTTCTCTGCGAGCCTGATCTATATGAACGTTAACCCCAAGCTCCTCCTCCTCCTTAGAGCTTTACATGCATTGATTAAACCTCATGAGCCTCACTTTAATTATTTCCTTTAGACACATCTGGTTCTTTGTGCTGTCTTATTTCACCACATAATTAATTAGGCTGAAGGAGTGTTTGTTTCATTCACCCTGGCTGGCACTCCTTAGCCTGAACTGTTCCAATGATTTTACTTTGCCCACTTTTATGAGAATCACCTTATAAACTCACAAGCCAAAATAATTTTATTTTTAATTTTCCCTTAGATTACTTCTTTTATCTTATTTTCTCTTTAATCTTCAATAGCTCTCAAAAAAAGTCCTGGAAGTTAACACAACACTGTAAATTTACTATACTTAAATTTAAAAAAAAGTTTTAATTAACCATGAAGATTTTATGTTTCTCAAAACCACACTATTTTCTAAGAAAATTAATATTTTCCTACTACAAATTTCAGGTTCATTTCATTCCCTTAACCAGATTCAAGCAAGCTGACATTAGTTAATCAGAAATAATTCACTCAAAATTTGTCATTATTTTAAATTAATTTCACCTCTTTCATGGTTTCTGACTTGTTCTCAATTACCAAATGCCAACTAGAAATTTTTACTGGAAAAACGACATCATGAGTTTTTCTCTTTATTTCTTCTGTCTTCATATTGTTGTTACAGTCGCTGGACAAATTCACAATTTATATAGCTGATGTCATGTCTTTTTGTACTATTTTATCGTATTTTTAAAACTTACAACTTGTTTTCTTGCACGAAAGGTTGGGGGAAGAGGTGTGGTTGACAGTGAGGGGAGTGGCAAGACATCAGGCTACCACTTCAGTGTGAAGAATGTCTGTGAACGGGGATTCCCCGTCTCTTCCCCGAGAAGTTGAGCCCAGTGCTCTCTCCCTCCCCTGAAAGGGCCCCACTGGTCCTGGGACCACAGATGTGAGCTCAAAGGTACATCCGTGCCTCCTCTACAGGTGTACCTGGCGGCAGGCACCGTGTACGGACTGGAAGGCCAGCTGAGTGAGCTAGAGGATGCCGCCCGCTGCATCCACAGTGGCACTGATGAGACTGAACTGGCAGATCTGGAGGACCAAGTGGCCACGGCGGCAGCCCAAGTCCACCACGCTGAGATCCAGGTACGAACGCTCCTCTCTGCCCAGATGGGGGGCCACCTGGCAAAAGGAGAGGGTGCCCCATCTTGCACAGGAATCATTTCAAAGCCTTTGTATCCATCAGATCCTGCCATCTCCAGCAGACCTGCATGGACATGGTCCTTCCAGGTGGATTCCACCAAATCCTTTCTTAAAGTGCAGCTCTCTTCTCCCCACATTACAGCCTTGGGAATACACATCTTTAAAACCTGTGCCATTTTCTTTTCCTCTTTGACAAATTCTCTGACACAAGACCCCATCCCCTAACCTTTATCACACTGTTTACTTATTTAATGCCAGCTTTCCCCACTATGCACTGAAAGCTCCCTGAAGACAGCAGTTGTGCTTAACCTCATGACTGTATTTCATCCTTTCAGCAACCTCATGAGGTGACTACTGTTATTCTTCCCTGCTTATATCTGGGGAAACTGAGGCTCAGAATGTTTAAACCAAAGTCAGATAGCTAGAAACGGATGAAGCCAGGATTTTAACCCAAGTCTTCCTGACGCCACCACCATTCTTCACCAGTCTGTGCTGGGTGGTTTCCTGAGAAATGTGCAGGTCCTGCCCAGGCGCCTGTCCACTGGTGTAAGAGCTCCTACTTCGCCTGGGGGTTGCCAGCCTGCCATCAGCTCTGTGATGATCTTCCCAGCGTGGGAAATGTTATGAGCGTGGAGACCCTCCTTGTCCTGCAGTTGCTGCCAAAGAACAAAGCCTTAGACTCCCTGCTGTCTTGTCCAAAGCGGACTCTCACAGAAGATGTGACAGGTGTCCTGCAGGATGACAGGAAGGTCCCCACCGAGGTGTGCTTCCATTAGGTCAGATTCTAGGGACGCTTTCACCTTGGAGCTGACCTTTGGGACAGGACTGACCGGCACTGAAGGAGGCTGCAGGATGACCCACGGGGAGGGGTGCGGACGCCATCCGCTGTGCCCTGGCAGGTCCTCTCTGTGGACACTCCTGCGGAAGGTCTCTCTTAACTCTTAGTATCAGGGAAAGCTATTCTTCTGGTCTTTATCTTGTGGACAGAGAGTCCTACACTGATCTTTTCACTTTAGCTCCCAGGAAATTTGGAGCTGAATTGGTCATTCCCTTCTAGCAAGTGTAAGGGTTCCTGGATATGCAGTCTTAGGAATTAATGGAATACTATTAGAGAGAGAGAGAGAAAATGCAGGCAAAGCAGCCCTCAGTATCTTCCTTTCCTCTTTCTCCATCCTTTGCCCTATGGACTAAAACTGGGGAAATTAACCCCTTCTTATTCCAGAACCTGGCAGTCAGCAAATCAGGAGGTCAGCCGCTTGCTCTCCCAACTGACCTGGCTCCAGGGCCGTCTGAGCAAAGCCCTCCATCAGGACTGCTTCCAGGAAGAAATGCGAACAGCTGATGACAGTGTAGCCTGCGGGCTTTCTCGGAGGCTTGTGCTGCTTATTGGTCTATAAACCAAAGGAACGCAGTTCTCACTGTGAAACTGGAGGAATCAGAACAGAAAGGCGCCTGGGGGCCGGGGCCACACGGGGCCCCTCCCAGGGGCTGGCTGCCGCAGCAGCGCATGACTGGGATTCTTTCCCCAGCTGCCACTGGCTTGGCTTTTACCTGCCCCCTCATCATCCAAGTCAGATGGCCACTCCTCCCGGATAGGGGAAGCATCTACTGTGTTTACTGATCTTTCACATCTTCTCGCTATACTTCCTACAGCACCTTTCCCGGTGGCCTTTGTCCAAAGAAGCCCTAGGTAAATGACCGCGGAATCAGAATTTGTCTTGCTCAGCACAAACAGCTTAGGGACAGGGGAGGCAATGGAGACCTCGGGGTGGGGGGCACACACCTTGGCAGCTGGGCCCGCTTACAGGTTTCCCGTTCGATGCCCCAGCAGCACTCGGGCTGTGCCATCTCAGCAGGACGGCTGTGATCCCAGCCTCCTCCCTGGACTCTGCCAGTTCCTGCTGGTTCCCCAGGTGTCCCCCATGCCGGGCCAGAGCATGAGCTCGTTCCAGGCTCTCCTGTGAGATGTGGGATAGGTCACGTCCCTCTGCACCAGCTTCCTTGTCTGCAAAACCAAGAGAATGGTACCTGTGTCACAGGATTATGAGTGAAGCGTGAACGAGTTCACGTCCTCAAAGCACTCAGCGTGCTCACGGCACATAGTAACGCCCTTTCTAGGAGCCAGGACCATGTCGTCTTCACCCCTCGGGACGGGGATGGACCAGGGTTCTGAGTGGGCTCTTGTTCTCTACATCCCCCTTATCCCTCCATCTCTGTGTCCACCTCAGAGGTATATGGTTATATTTCTTTATCCATCCCCTGCTGGAAAAAATCTGAGCTCCTTCTCACCTTCCAATGTTATAGACAGGGAAAGTGGTACCCAGAGAGAGGAGGGAGTTTCTCGAGGCCACCTGGCCTCTTAATAGAGGCGATGGACTTGAACCAGGGGCCGCTGGGCCTCCCTCCTAAGACCTGGCGCTGTGGTTTTAGATTCAAGGAGTCATGGAAAAAGGAAGCAGGACATCCAAATTGTACTTGCCTTTCAAAGCTCACCACACATGCTGCCTCCCGTGGAAGCCTCTCCTGACCTCCCCACCCCTGTGCTGAGCCAGATGACCCTGGACCAGGGTTCCCATCATGTCCTTGGCTTCCGTTTATCCCTAGGGATCCTCTGGCAAAGGTGACCTGCTCTAGAGCTAACTGGAAAATTAAACTTACAAAGAAAGGCCTGTGTTTTATTTTCTCACCACAGTACTGGATAGAGACGTGCTTGGTAGAAGTTGAATGAATGAATGAGTGAATGGCATACATCAAAGCAGATTTGTTCTTTATAGATTCATAACACTTTTAACAAAGATTTTCCCCTTCTGGGCTTTCTCCCGACTGATTCTGTCTTTCTGTTGCATTAAGATTTCTGACATCGAGAGCCGGATTTCAGCCCTGACCATTGCAGGGTTAAACATAGCACCCTGTGGGCGCCTCACAAGGAAACGAGAGCAGAAGCAAAGGAACCAGGTGAGTTTGTCTCTCACTCTCTCTGTTGAAATTTTGCAAGACCCGGAAAATGTAGAAGATAAAGTATCTCTGGCTTCGCCAAGGTGTACCGATTCCTGTGTTCTGTTTGTAGGTACAAACCATAGACACATCAAGGCAGCAGAGGAGGAAGCTGCCTGCTCCACCAGTGAAAGGTATGCTTAAATCAAACCACACGGCCACCAAGGAATGAAGCCTGACTCATTCACTAGGAGTCACTGAGATCTGCGTTTGAGGACCAGATCTAATAGGGTGTTCTCACCCAGAATCGCCCTTGTGAAGAGTCTGTCTTGACTTGGACCTCCCCACCATGAAGCAGTTTTGGGGATAAGGATGTGATTTGGGAGGTAATTCCAGGAAACACTGATAAGGGAAGAGAGAAATGATTCAGGGAAGGAAATTAAGCCAATACAATGTCCCTTCATCGGTAGTTTGCTTCTTTGGGCAAATGAGGCTAAAACCTGCTAGAGATTTTTGGGAGGCAGTATTAACCGCACCTCAGAGTCTCCTACTCAGAGTAGGAACATGAGGTATTTCAACTCTCATCTTTGCTTGAAGCTTACTTCTGGTGGGGACGTTAACTCCCTGCTACTTCTGGCCCACCCCATTCATGGGCCGAGAGAGTGGTGGTGCCTGCCGTACAATGCCTGCAGGATACCGGAATGGGGACTGTCAGGGAGATGTGGGCAGGGCACCGAAAGCGTCTAACATAGACCCCCACCTGGAAGGGATTCCAGCAGTGCCAGTCACATCACCTTCATCTGCTGGACGTTTTCAGTGATTTCCTTGGATTCAGAAGCCACAGAATGATGCTGCTGAACTAGAAATTTAGACCTACAAATCAGAAGAGGAGAAAGTCAGAGGATGTGTATTTGAGTCCTGGTTCCACCATTCGTTGTTCAACATTTATTGAATGCCTACTTTATATTCCATGTATTTACATATCTAATTGTATAATATACTGTATATATTATTATACAGTTAAGATATATTATAGATCCACGATCCCTTATTTGAAACCCTTGGGGTCAACATGTGTTTCAGAATTTTCTGGTTACCTTAGAAAGGTAATATGGTACCTGAACTGTGTACTTCCTAACAGCCCCCTCACCATGGTGTCTGGGCCAGCGTCTGATAAACACATTCACATCCTTGCAGCAAAGTCTGAGAATTCATGCTCAGTGGGAGGAACAAGGACTTTAAATGGCTGCCTGTCTGTTTAAGTCAAGTTTTGCCATCAGGCAATTTTGACTCCAAAGTTACAAAGATGTGCAGTTTTTAGAGCCTTTTATGTTTCAGAATTGCAAATAAGAACTTGTGGACTGTGTTGGATCATCTCCAAGCTAGCTTTTCCCAGAAAGCCACTAAGGATGTCTTGATTTATTTGGTCCACCATAAAAATAAACACAAAGCAAAAAGATTCCACAGTCAGACCCAAGGACCAGAATGAGATGCCACGTCTGGAACAGAAGTCTGGGTCATCTGGACCCCTGGGCTTTCTTCCTTAACTGGTCCAGCTTCTAGACAATACTTATTCCTATGTGGTTTTTTTTTTTTTAGCTGAAAAAATGGAAGCATCTTCAGTGACCACCATTAAAACATTTAATCGCAACTTCATTCTCCAAGACTCCTCGACGAACAGGACTAAAGAAAGGAAAAGTGCCACCAAGGATTTGATGGTAAGTCCCCTCTGTCTTAATGCCAGTTACTTTCACTGTTGATGGCACCTCCTTTCTGCAGTCAGAGCTCGAAGAAGCATCCTTCCTGCATGGTCTCCTGGTCGGTCTGTCGGTTAGGTGGGCGGGGGGGGGCTGCATTATACACCTAGCCGCTTGGATAAGTGTATACAGCCCCTCAGCTCTATCTCCAGCTCCTTGTAGGAACCAGGTTGGATACTAGAGAAATAAAAATTCATACACAGGAATGTAATAGTTGAGATGTAAGAGTTTTTATTCTGCTTTTGGCCCATATTCACTCTTCCTTAAATTTCTTGTTAGCCATTCATTTAATTACTTGTGTTCCTGAAAAAAAAGCCAGCAGCTGCTCATAAATGCGACAAAGGAAGGGACAAAGTAGGTAATTTGCTTAAACCTGAAATCACATAGACAGGGCTGATGGGTTACTACCCTCACACCAACAAATGCTTCAGAATTTTGGCAAATGCTTGATGCTGCTTCTATGGGAGGTGGTGATCCAGACGAATGGCCTTGGTGATACCAGGTGAGCTGAGGGCAGACGATGGCTAGGTGGCAAGACTAAAGCAAGGGGAAATCTAATCTGTTGTCTTTTACGCATCATTTGTCACTCCCTTCCCATTCCTCCCCCTCGACGTCCCTGTGTCATGAGCACAGAAGCACCAGGTAATGGCATAATGGTGGGCGTGCCCTTTTGGATTACAAATTACCACATCTCTTGGGCACCGTATGGTAACAGTGCTGCCACTCCCTTTGCCTCACTGGCCAGCCATTACCCCTGACCTTTCCAAGTCCAATTACCTGGCTCCTGGCCATTACTTAAAAGAGCTAAAAAGACGCATTATCATACTAACAGGGCAGGCCACTAGGGCCAGGGAAGGGATCTTTTATAAATGAGAGAGTTAAAAATAAATTACCTTTATAAAACAGAAACAGACTCACAGACACAGAAAAAAAACTTACGGTTAAGGGGGGGTTGGGGGAGGGATAAATTGGGAGTTCAAGATTTGTAGATACTAATACATATATGTTTAATATATAAGCAACGAGGTTCTACTGTGTAGCACAGGGAACTATATTCAATATCTTATAGTAACTTATGGTGAAAAAGAATATGAAAACGAATATATGTATTTCCTGTATGACTGAAGTACTGTGCTGTACACCAGAAATTGACACAACATTGTAAACTGACTATACTTCAATAAAAAAATACACACACACACACACAAAATTACCTTCCATAGAGACAGAACAGAAGGATAGATCAATGGTTGCCAGGGGCCATGGGGACAGGGGATACGAAACAATGCTTAATGGGGAAGACATTTTACTTCACTGATGGTATGTTTTGAAACTTGAAAGAAGTGGTGGTTGTGCAACATTGTCAATGTACTAAATGCCAATGAACTGTTCATTTTTCAAATGGTTAATTTTATGTTTTGTGAATTTCACCTCAGTAAGTGACTTTTTTAATAAATTAATTTTAAATAATGCAGAGAGTTAAAAAATGAAAGAACAGACAATATTTGGTAAGCAAATGCTAACAAAGTAGAAAGGGCGGGAATACTACTTTCCAACAAAGTAGAATTCAAGGCAAGAAGCACTCAAGAGGAAACAGGGAGGAAGCTTTAGATGTTGATAAAGTCAGTCAACCATGAGCCTTTCCCGAACTGGCAAACAACAGAGCAACACAATTTACTGTGCCATGGCCGATGACTTTAAAATTCCCTCATCAGCCCTTGAAAGCCCAGAACCCCCAAATAAATATAAATTAGATAATTTGAATAGTCTAATTATTAAGCTTTAATTAAGAAATGTATCTACTTTATACTTAACAGAGACTTCACTTTCTTTCCAAGTATCAATGGACCATATATAAAAATTGATTTTATACCAGCTACAAAGAAAACCTCAATAGGTTCCCCAAAAGTAGGTAGTATAGAACCACCCTCTGTGACCCCTAAAGCCAAAATTCTCAAACAGCACTCAGTATGTCCAATAGAACCTTGTGAAATGATGGAAATGTTCTATATCTGCAGTGCCCAGTAGGGGAGCCATTAGCCACAGGTGGCTACTGAGCTCTTGAAATGTGGTACTGCCTTGGAGGAAATGACTTAAATTTTATTTATTTCTAATTAATCTAGATGTAATAAACAGCCACGTGTGGCTAGTGACTACCATATTAGACATGGCAAATGTCGAAAATTAGAAAAGTTGAAATAATCAGAAACTCCACCTGGAAGTTATAAAACATGTGTGCACCCACATACACAAATACACACGTACACATACAAATGTGCACGTCCCATGCACATTTCCAAGAAACCTGAACTAAAGTTTGAGAAAAGCTAATCTACAGAGCATTTACAAAAGGAAAAGTTACATATATCAACACAAATGGGATATATAGAGAGCTATACAGAGTCAAATTCACAGTATTAAATATTTTCTTCATTATTAAAGAAGCAAAACAAATGAACTAGACAAAGATAAATGCATAAATCAATCAGTTAAAACCAGAAAACTACAGAAATAACCATAAATCCAGGAGCTTCTTCTTTGAAAAAATAGAAAAATGTGTGTAAGCCAGCTGAAGAAGAAAATCAATAAATAAAAAATGAGAAAGTCTGAGATGTACATTTTTAATTTAAATATACAATGTGATGTAAACCTATGCTGATAAATCTTTAAGTCTTAATGCTAATAAAATCAGAATCAATGCTAATAAAATCAGAGTATTAGTAAAAACTGAAATAAAAATTTTAAATTTATTAAAACTTCAGAAAATAGGTATCTCTGGTCAAATGATTTTGCTGATAAATGTTTAAGGAACAGTTCATTCCCATGTGATGTAAAATATCCCAGAGCATTAAAAAAAGTTGAAAACTAAAAGATTCATAGCATGGCTGGTAAGTGTCTACACATCCCCACACCCACTTATACACACAGACACACACAGCCATATACAAACCACACACCAAACAGTACTCCTTCAGAGAGATGAGTCATGCTCAATAAAATATTAGCAAATTAAATGCAGCAGGACATTAAATAATAAATCACCAGGTAAATTTCACACAAACGTGACGATACATTTAATACTGAGGTACTGATTGATAAACCCTACCAGCAGTTCATTTCTCCCCAAATTAATTTATAGTTTAATCCAATTCTCATAAAATTCTCACTGGGATTTTCTTGGAACTAAAGTTTATACAAGAATGAATCAGAAAGAATAGACAAAAGTATTTTGCAAAAGTAAAGTGATTTTCTTGTCAGATTTTAAAACCATTAAAAGCTGTAAAGAAACTGCTGGTTAATGAAACAGAACAGAATGCTCAGAAATAGATCCAGGCACATCTGAAAATGTGTTATATGATTTTTTAAGCATTAGGAACCAGTAGGGAAGGTATAGATTATTTAAGAAAAACAAAAACAAAAACAAAACTAAGCTTGGGAAGTTAGCCAAGGGGACGCAGAGAGAAGGGTATCAGTTTGCCTTATTCCATATACCAAAATGAATCTCAGATGCATTAGGAAGTATATGTAAGAAATGCATCACTTTCTAAATACCGGGAAATATTTCACTGGTCCGTGGCACGAATTCCCTCTGTGACCTACAAAAGCAGTAGAAATGGTTGCTAATTGCCTCTCCTCACTTTCACCAAGTGGCTGATTGTGTTTGCTCACTGTCTCGCCTCAGGAGCCCACCCTGGAGTCTGCTGTGATGTATTAGCACCATGGAACTCCACTGCCAGTGACCCACTGCCTCCGGCCGTACACGACAGTGCCTTGACCCAACAGCCATCGAATACTGTATGGATTTCCACCTGAGGAGAGGGCCTGGGGAGGCCACAGTGCACCCCTGCACAGGGCTGTCCTGATACCTCAACCAGAAAGCAGTCCCAGACTTCAGCATCAAGGTCTTGCCTACTCTCTGCCTTAGGCTCCCAGGGGAATCCAAGACAGAAAACCAAGACGCTGGCTTCCAACAGCAGAGCTCCACATTCAAAAGATGCATCTCTTCCCTGTTTGCTTGGCTACTGTGTGTTGTCTTTAAGATCTTTTTTCGTTTATCCCTTTGATTCACCTAGAACTACAATGTCAACAGTTTGTCCCCTAAAATATTGTTGGGGTTAGGAGATAGCTGAGGGAAGGGAGATGAGTATTAAAATTTAACTCATCAGTTCTTATTAACCTCTCACAAGCATCTTTGTCCTACAAATGCTAAGGAGAAAAGTGCAGTGCCCCTGTAGTGAGCACCAAGGAGGGTCTAACTTGGGGAGTGCTCAGGTGTCAAGGTCTCCCCCAGCCACCTCCTTCCTGCTGGCTCCTAGCCCACCGCATCACCGGTTCCTCCCGTTGCTTTGCTATCACCAGCCACAGGACAGAAAGCCCTGGCTCGCCCATGTCAGGCCCAGGTCTATGAGAAATAACATCTCACCGAGATTTCAGGGTCCTTCCCTGGACTTGCTGGGTGTTTCCTGGCTCTGATGGGGAGAGGGGCTTGAGAAAGCCCCTGCTGGTTTAACTTTAGGGCACTGTCCATTATCAACATGATGCAGTTTAGCAGTGGCTGCATCTAAATGAGGTTTAGGTAACTGGATTATTGCACAATACAACCACATGAGAAAATACCATCCTCCAGAATTTATTTCCGAATAAATACTCAGCAAAAAGTAATTAAGATGACCATAAAGACAAGAAAGGTTAAGGAATAGCCTTAGAAAACTTACAGGTCTGAAAAAGGCAAGGACAAACTGAATTCAAAGGATGCAACAGTTGACACTAATTCCACACGTGTGACTCCAAATGCATGACTATTTAGAGTGTGTTTATAAAAGCAAATGGAACTGGAATTTCACTCAGTTGAGCGTTGGCAACCTTTTTTCCTTTGTTCCTGATATATTCTCAATCTGAGGAAGGCGGCAAAAGATGGGAGGCAAGGGAAGAGCATGGCTGATGTTTACACTAAGTGGCCTCTGAAGGAGGCGACATTCTTCTCACTTCAATCCTTAGAGCAACCCTATTCAGTAGGTGTCCCCATTTTTCAGATTTGGAAACTGAGGGCCAGAGTTACTAATTTGCCAAAGTCAGACCTTGCAGCTAAGTATGATACAAAAGCCTGACGAAAGCCTCCCTCTGTGTCGTTTTCAACTCCTACGTTCCTTTGCTGCCGTGCACATTTCAGGACCTGACTTGCTGCTGAAACGTGTGTTGTGATCCAGTGCTGGTGGGGGTCTACCTCTCTTCCAGTAGTACTCCTTGCTGATGCTGTGATGTGTTATCCAGCAGAAACAACTCCTTTGAAATAAAGTCAGTCTTCGGCTTTTTGTTCTGTTGGTGTGATTAAAAGCAAACAAATACAAAATTTAAAAACACAGCAAAAAAGATCTGAGTTCCAAATAGAGCGTTTCTTTAAGAGGCATGAAAAGCACCTATTGTTGTGTTACAGTGTTAAAATATTCAGTTTTCTTTGACAAAAACGTGTACTGTGTAAGCCTTGCAAAAAAACAAAAACAAAAAGCAGCAGCAGCCTGCTCTATGGCATTTGAATTTTTATAAAAGTTTCCTTGTGCCAAATAAGTGCAAAGATTTAATTTACTATTAAAACCCATAAGCATATGTTATAGTTCCAGAAGAATTATTTTGTCATCAAGTGATTTTGATCTTCAGTGTGAATATTTATATTTAGATTAATTTTTATAAATGAAAATATTTTAATGGTTTAAGAAAATGAAGCCAATAGGACCATCTCTTTGATGACTTCTGAAAGTACGCTTGCCTTCATGTTATACACACATTGCAAAGAACTACTGTCAAGAGAAATGATGCAGAAGTAAAAGTCATTTATGAAAATAACGTGTGTGGGTGTGTGATTTCTTTGGTTCGGGAAAACTGGGCGTGAAGAGGGGAAAGAAGTCAATGGCTGGTCATCAGAGGGGCCAAGTGTCAAAGGGTCAAAGCCACTGCTACCCTGTGCCCCGTGTTCCTTCCAGGTACACCACTCACCTCTCCATTGCTCATCCTCCTGAGAACAGTGGTCACTCAGGTAAGACCAGCAGTTCTCAAAGCAGGGGTGGGGGGTCAGTGTGACTTTGTGCCTCAGAGGACATTTCTGGTTGTCACACTTGGTGGGAACAGAACGTGTATATAGTGGATAGTGTCCAGGGATGCTGTTAAACATCCTACAGTGCACAGGACAGCACCCACAGCAAAGAGTTCTCCAACTCAAAATGTCCTGGGTTAGACCCTGGAGCCTGGTCATCAGGGGAGAAGCCCCTGCCAGCCTGTGTGTGAGCTGAGCCAACTCTCCCAGAGTCCTCCACAGGCTCAGAGGCTGTTGTGGCTCCTTGAGGCTGGCCTGCCCAGAGGCTGGCCCCTGCCATCCCCAAATAGGAACAGAACCCCCTACTACCCTGAAATGAATGAGGGAATAAAATATGAATGGAAGCCAAGAGCCTTCTCCACCCGGTGGGCTAGCACAGTAGGACTCACACTTGAGCAGGCATCACAGTCACCTGCAAATGATTCGTGGGATGAATCCGATCATCCCCAGTCCTCTGTCTACGTTTCTCTACGCTACTGGTAATGTGCCTGGCATGGTAACGTGTGCTAAACATTCGTAACAAACAAGCTAGCATTTAGGTCGGCAGGGCACTTCATGTGGGGGTGGGGGGAGAACACCAGGAGACCCATCTGAGATTCCCTCCTGGCAGCATTTCTGGGCCAGAATTCCTGACCACCCCCTCCCCGCGTAGGAATAGCAAGGCACGGAAGATGGCAAAGAGGTTCCAGCCACAGTCCAGTTACCTGAGAATTCACCCTCCCTAACCCAGAAGCCCCAAAAACTTGTACTGAGCAGCCAATATACATCAACAGTCTGAGTATTCAAGATTGGTTTGAGTCAACAATTCAAGTATCAAGAGTGATAGGCAGGGGGGAGGTGCCAAGATGGCAGAGTAGAGGGACCCCCAGTTTGCCCCCTCTCACAAATACACCAAGAATTACATCGCACATAATACCTACTAAACTTTGGCAGAGTGTCTCTCACTACCAGTACTGAAATTGATACCATCAACAAAAGGAAAAACCTACAGAATGGGAGAAAATAATTTGCAAATGATGTGACCAACAAGGGACTAATTTCCAAAATACACAAACAGCTCAGACCTCTTAGTATCAAAAAAAAAAGGCAACCCAATCAAAAAGTGGGTGGAAGACCTAAACAGACATCTCTCCAAAGAAGACAGATGGACAACAAGCACATGAAGAGATGCTCAACATCACTAATTGTTAGAGAAATGCAAATCAAAACTACAATGAGGTATCACCTCACACCAGTCAGAATGGCCATCATTAAAAAGCCCACAAACGATAAATGCTGGAGAGGGTGAGGAGAAAAGGGAGCCCTCCTACACTACTGGTGGGAATGTAGATTGGTGCAGCCACTATGGAAGACAGTATGGAGATTCCTTAAAAAACTAAAAATAAGCTTACCATATGATCCAGCAATCCTACCCCTGGGCATATACCTGGAGAAAAATATAATTCAGAAAGACACATGCACCCCAATGTTCAAATTTACAATAGCCAAGACATGGAAACAACCTAAATGTCCATCAACAGATGACTGGATAAAGAAAATGTATGGGGGGGGGGTGTGTCTCTATATATAGTGGAATACTATTCAGCCATAAAAATAAAATAATGCCATTTGCAGCAACATGGATGGACCTAGAGATCATCATTCTAAGTGAAGTTAGTCAGAAAGGTAAAGAAAAATGCCATATGATATCGCTCATATGTGGAATCTTAAAAAAAAATGGACACAAATGAACTTAATTTAAAGAACACAAACAGACTCACAGACATAGAAAACCTAACGGGGTAAAAGGGGTGGGAAAGGATAAATTGGGAGTTTGAGATTTGCAGATACTAACTACTATATATAAAATAGATAAACAATGAGGTCCCACTGTATTCAATACCTTGTACTATATTCAATATCTTATAGTAACCAATAAAGAAAAAGAATATGAAAACAAATATATGTATGCATATGTACACCAGAAATTGACACAACATTGTAAACTGACTATAGTTTAATTGAAAAAAAAAGAGAGAGTGACAGGCAGCTGCACTCACAGACCACTTACAGCTCTTCTTGCTTCTAGGGTAAATAGGAACAGATAAAGACAGTATTTTCCTCTAAGAAATAAGTGCTTCATTTGCTATGACAAAAAAAAAGTGACCCAATATTCACAGCATTTGAAGCCTGCCATAAAAAAACCAGGCTCCACTTACAGACTTCCCAAACCCCAGCTCTGTGGCCTATCACCTCACCTGTAAAATGGGGCTACAAATATCTCCCTGTGTTGTAGTGAAAGGGTTCAATGAAATAACACAAGAAAACTCTCAGCAGCATGCTTGGTGACTACAGGTACTCAGTGCTGGTTTCCTCCTTTTTCTCTTAGAAATAAGAAAATCATTCAAAAATCAACACCATGATTTATTTCGTAAAATGCTGTGCCTCGATTTTTCTACTCATAGTAGAAGAGATTATTGTTCTGCAAATATTCCCTCTCTTAACCCCTTAACTCTGGGAGGACCACACTAACTCACCCCCTGAGGCTGGGCGTGGCCATGTGATTTGCCTCACGGTTGGTGAGCATAATTCTCTGTCTTCTGGCCACTACAGTATAACACCAAAGATTGGGCAGCTTATAAACAACAAAAATGTATTTCTCACAGTTCTGGAGGCTGGAAGTCCAAGGCCAGGGTGCCAGCATGGTCGGGCTGTGGTGAAAGCTGCTGCAGACTGCCAGCTTCTCACTGTCTCGCTGCCTTGCCTCACATGGCGAGGGACTGCACTAATCCCAATCAGGGGGGCAGCGCCCTCCTACCTAGTCACCCCCCAAACACCTTACCTACTGACATCATCACCTTACAGGTTAGATTTCAACATATGAATTTTGAGGAGACACAAACATCCAGACCACAGCATTCTCCAACCCTTGCTTTGGACTTAGCCACATAGCTTGCTTTGGCTAATGAGATACTAGAAAAAGAGCTATACAATGGTCTTGAAATATGTTTATGGAGTAAGGTTTGTCCACTTATATTTGCCAATCACTATGAGAACATGACACAGGCAGCCCACTGGTCCAAGGAAAAGATCCCAACCCAACCTTGCAGCCAAGCTGAGCTGAGCTTAGCCCAGATCATCAAAGCCACCCCAGCCAACCTGTAGACACAGGAGCAAGAATAAGAGGGGAATGGTCAAGACGGCAGGGTAGGAGGATGATCTTAGTTCACCCTCTCCCATGAATACACCAAGAGAGACATCCATGGACCCACTCATTCACTCAGAACACCTGCTGAACTTCGACAGAATATCGCTGTCTTCAAAAGACAAAATTCATCACAAATCTCGGCCACCATGATCTGACCCATGTGGACAGCTGCAAAAACAAAAGATTCCAAGAACAAAGAATTCCTACACCAAGAAGCTTGCAACAACCAAGCAACCATCCTCCCCTTTTTAGTATAAAAGGAGCCTGAATTCTGACTTGGGGAAGACGGTTCTCCAGGACATTAGTCTGCCATCTTCTTGGTCTGCCAGCTTTCCAAATAAAGTCACTTTTCCTTGCCCCAACCAAAAATATAAAATTAAATAAAATAAAACATCGCTCTTTTAAACCGCTGAGTTAGGGGGTGGTTTATTACACAGTAAGAGCTAACTGGTAAGACTACATGAAAAGTTAGTTTTATCACCTTAGATTAATCCTTGTGTTAGTGATGAAGATGAGCAAATATTGAAAGTGAAACCACATGCCAATATAAGGTCTATATAAACCACTACTGAGCTACTTGTTTTTGACATTTCACAATTTATATATGAAACTTGTTACGTTTTTGGAAGCATCTGTGTGTGTGTGTGTGTGTGTTGTGTATGTGCCGATCTTTCACAAAGAGTCCTCTGTTCACTGAAATGTTTGATGAAACTTTAAAGTACAGGAGACATTTGGCGCATCCTTTTAAAAATAACTTCTCGAACGGCAGCCACTCTGTTTTCTCCCAGGAGAAGTATTTCCCATACACAATTTGCATTTTATGGAACAGTTGGTCGCATGAGCCTTCTGTCTCTGCAACTGAGTTATAATTATGACAAAGTGCAGGTAAATGGAGTTGCATTTTAAAAGCGCTTTCAAGGAGCTGGAAACCTCTATTATCCACTTCAAACACTGGAAACTTCAAAGAGGTTATTCCAAAAAATCCAGTTTGGTAGGATCAAGTCCTCAAATATAGAAAAGTATGTTTTCTATCAAAGTTATCATGTTTGATAAAGATGAAAGGCTGAAAGCAGCGCTTCTCAAACTTTAATGTGCAAATTCTGAGTCAGCAGGCCTGGTGGAGCCCACGATGCAGCATTTCTAACAAGCTGCCAGATGACGACGATGCTGCTGGCCACACTTTGAGTAGCACAGGACTTCAGGAGGAGCTGAAAGAAGGCCAGAGGTGGGGAGGTAATCCAGAGAGCCCCAATCTACTGGTTGGGCCCTAGGATGAGTGTTGCTCCATCTCTTTGGAGAAAAGCTCTCTGTCGCTCTTGCTGTTTCCTCCCCAGTCCAGGGAGGGAATGTCTACCCACTCTCCAACTATCTTAACTGAAGCTCTGGAAGACAGCAGGTTACTGTTGCCCAGAAACAACCCAGTGGGCAGCCTTGAGGAGTGGGGATTTCCAATCATTTCCTTGTGGCTTTTGAAGTGGACAAAGTTCTCTCTCTGCTAGTAGGGCTGAGTGAGCCATGCTTGGAAGCCAGGTGGACCAGGGAACGGCCTCCTCCTCTATCCAGCTC